AAAAAAAAAAAAAAAAAAAAAAAACGATTCAGTTTCGAATAAAGATTAATCGAGTCACATTTAATTCGAAATGATGAAGAATATGTGTGAAAAGGGGGCCAGTCAAAAGTGTCAAAAGCGGAAGAAAGCGGTTTGTGCGAGGATGGCATTAAATTTTACAGTAAGATGCGCTTTCTCGCGAAACATTCGAGATTTAATATTCCTATATATAAATACTTTTATAGAAATATTTTTTATTTGTCATAATAGAAAAGTAAAAACAACTTTAGAGTTCATAAATCAATTTAGATTTTTAACTATTGGAAGAAAAACTAGAGCCGTTAAATCGAAAGTACTTTTTAGAAATTTGTAGGATATAAAATCTATAAATATGAATTTATAGATTCACGTTTTCCTTTCTCTAGAGATTTGATTTTTTAAAAAGATAACTAAAGATATCTAAAGTTTTATAAATATTTGGAATGTAAATTAAAATTATTAGATTTATATAGAAATAAATTGGAGATTTTATGAACGAATCGTAGATATGAGTTTAAGTTTATGTAGCATGCTTAACGGTTGCTACATTTTTCATTCTTAGAAATGAAAATATCTTCACGCATTACTAAAAGATATATATTGATCTTAGTTCGAGTTCATTCGCCTTTCGAAAAAAATCTTTCCTAATCGATTTGGTGAAATTTTTATTAATAAATCTATCGCAAAAATATTCGTGAATTCACTATGAGAACAATTGAACTAAATCCACAAATTTCCACCATATTAAGAATAAAATTTTCATAAACAGAATATATTATTTTCCACTCTGACGACATTAATCTCCAGCAACGCACGAATATTTAAAATAATAATTTTATAATATTATTAATTTAAAAAAATATATATTCAAATTTAACACAATATTAAAAAAAAAAAAAAACTCACGTGGTATAGGTGTCAGATAGATAATAGTTGCTACCACGGAACTCAGACCCACGAATATAGAGAACCTGAAGAACATTGTTGAAGACAAGATCTCGGTTCAAATATCTCTTGCGTGCAACAATGAAGTACACTTTATATAAAATACCAATGGCGAAACGATCAACAGGACGAACTATCCAGTTTCGTGGCCGCGAATACACTAACACGATAGGCGCAAGTTCATTGCCAGAGAGAGAGTTGTTCGCCGATTAAAAAGAAAGATCTTTCAACCGCGGAAACGCTTACTTGTCGGTTCGTTCACACTCGTTTCTTTGTTGCAACGTGATTATCGTGGAACACGTGAAAAACTGTCCACAAGTTTCGTTCGATGATATGCAACTGGCCGAGTGCAGATCGTGACGATCACAGTCGAGCGAGGAACTCGGTTGCACTCGATAGATTGTTGCGAAAAAGCTAGCGTGTAGGAATTTTAACGAGAAAGAAGTTTAAACGATGTATTTATTTTATTTTAGATCATTTGATTATATTCATATTCACGTTTAATATTGAAATTGATATTGCACATGATTTATTTATTTGTTATTAATAATTTTGATTCTAATTATTATGAGAGAGTTATTTACACAGTTCGATATATTTGTTTTTCCAATTTGATTATCTAACAACGAGAAAGTTGTAACTTGTGTGATTGTTCGAATGGAAAATTTTCGAAAAAAATTGCTCGATCGAATTTTTTTTTTGCTACGCCTTCAAATCCTTTTTATCATCTTTGATTAACGATTGAATTTATGTCGAATTAACTGTTGTTGCTGAAAATCAACGAGAAATTTCTTGAGAAAGTGGAATAAATTATATGCGGTAATTGGATAGTTGATTTTTGTTTTTTGATCAAGATTCGATTAATTTTATTCACTTTCGAAGCATTAAGATATAATTATACTTATATTATTATTTGTAATTATAATTAATTTTGATAATGATATGCATTGTATGTAATATTTTAGAAATTGCATCAGTTTTAAAATTATTCGTATTTAATAATTTTAAATACAGACAGAATAATTAGACAATTAGACAGAATAAATTATAATAATTTTATTTAACGAGTTAAAAAGAAAATGTGTGCATTTTTATATATATTATTTATTAATTTTTAATTTTAATTATAAGTATGTGCAATTTCAAATTTTAAACATTATCTTATTGTCATTATCCTGAATTATATTTGAATATTTGATTCTTCAGAAATGATCTTTAAAACTAAGTATTATTTAACAAATCAAATTTTAAATACGTAAATTTTTATTTCATTTCATCGCGAAATTAATTTTTTTGTGATAAAAATTAATACTGTAGTTCTCATTGGATATTCTAGGTTATATTCACATTGTACATTCATACGTACATTACGGTACATTTAAGAGGAAAGTTCCAGTGTAGATAAATATATAAAATTTAATAATATGAATGAAGTTTTAAACAAGAATTTTAAAACTTTGTATCCAAAGTTGGAAATTGCTGTAAACAATGCAACTTTTATTGCCATCGATGCTGAATTTACTGGTCTATATTCAGAAGAGAAATTGAAACATAGGTTAGGTTTGTTTAAGAATTAAAAATCAACTTCAATTGTACTTTTTCTCACTTGTATCTCTTTTATTTCAGCTTTTTTGATACATTCAATGATCGTTATAAATTATTAAAGAAAAATATTGAGCAATTTATGATAATACAATTTGGCATTGCAACTTTCCGTCATGTTCCTTATGAAAATACCTATAAAGTAGATTGTTTTAATTCTTATTTGTTTCCAAAATCTATACCATTAAAAAATAGACACTTAATATGGCAAGTGGCAGCATTAGAGTTCCTTTGTAAACATAATTTTGAATTTAATAAAGTATGTTGTTTAAGTAAAATTGTGTTATAAAATATATTTGTATTTATTAGTACAAATTATTTGCTTAGTTCTAATATATATCTTGTAGTTTTTAAATGAAGGTATTTCATTCTTGGATGAGACAGATGAAAAGTTATTAAAAAATTATATAAAAGAAGGTAGTTTAGCATATAATTTAAATCATTTAACATATGAAGAAGAAAATGAGTTTGTAAACTATAAAACTAAAATTTCTGAATGGATTGCTAATAAGAGAAATGAAGAAACATTAAAGGTGGAAACTTCTAATCCTATATTACAATATTTGATACATAAAGACATAAGACAGAAATATAAAAATATATGGAGTATATCGGATGATAAATCAGTATGTA